CCTGAAAAGCCAATAGGTAGCTTTTTGACTGATGCCCCTCCTTTCCCTCCCTGGCAGTAGTCCAGTGTCTATCCTTTCCATGTTTATGTCCATGTGTATTCAAGTTTTAGCTCCCACTTACAAGTGAGAACAAGAGGTATTTGGTTTTCTGTTCCTGCTTGAACTTGCTTAGGTTAATGGCCTCCAGCTGCATTCGTGTTGCTGCAATGGACAGGATCGCATTCTTTTTTATGGCTGCATACTATTCCATGGTGTACACGTACCTGATTTTCTTTATCCGGTCCTCCACTGACGGGCACCAAGGTTGGTTCCATGTCTTTGCTATTGTAAATAGAGCTGTGTTGAACATACGTGTGCGTGTGTCTTTTTGGTAGAATGATCTGTTTTCCTTTGGGCATATGCCCAGTCATGAGATTGCTGGGTCAAATGGTAGCTCTGTTTTCAGTTCTTTGAGAAATCTCCAAACCGTTTTCCACATAGCTGAACTAATTTATGTTCATCCTTTTCATAGTAGCCTTTAAAATAATCTTTGAAGTCGAGAGTTTCACGGGCATTGATTGCGTCTGCTCCTCCTAGTTCCAAGGTGGGGGTCACGGTCCCCATTTGACAGAAGAGCCACTGGTCTTAGGGACAGTCCCTGGGCCATGACACCACAGCCTCCAGTGCAATGTGCCTCCCAGCTCCGTCTGGTGTGCTCCCTCCTCGGAAGCCCTGCCCCGCAAAGGCTAATTCCAGGGTCTGGGCTGAGACCAGCTCCGGGGAGCTGTGCCTTCCACTCCCTCCAGCTGAGCTGGCTTCACACACCTTGCTCACCCCTCTGACCTGTTCCACAGCCACTGATACTGTTTCTAAAATCCGGTCTCAAAGAACAGAGCATGGGGTTGCAATGGCTTCTCGGGCCACAGAGTGGTGGTTCACCCCTCCTTTCCACCCACTCTTCCATATTCGAATTTTACTCAGCTCACCCAGTGAGCTGAAAGATTCAGAACTGGAGTCAGAACAATTGCAGTGAGGCCACTGGATGCTCCTCCAGTGCAGCAGGTCTCGGGATAGGCGGCACAGACAATCTGGCGTGGTCACTGCCGGTCCTGGCGCTCCCGGGAGGCTTTCTGGTAGACCTGTCTGCTCCCACGACTGCAATCTCTTGTGTAATTGTGACATAAAGTTGTCACACCCAGCAGTGGATGCCATAACTCCACCACATGTCCTCTGGGGTGGCACACCTGTGGCAGGCTTCAAGATACACATCTACAACTTTCCTAAGGGACCTTTGATCCTGGTTTCCCTGGGTAGGGAGTCATGTCCCCAGCACATGTGTGCGCTGCATCACAGAGAGAGGGCAAGTGACCTGCAGCACAGCTGATTACGTTTCTAGACCCACAGGAGCCATGAGGGCAAGGCAGCCAGCCTCGGCTCCCAGCCGCTCACCAGAGCCCATTCTGGGCCCCTCATTCCAGCTGCTCGTCAGTGACATGGCGGCAGTGACGTGCAGTGGGCCATGGTGGAGGATTTTATTCGCTGTGATGAGCAAGGGCTGGTCTGCATTCCTCTCACCTGTCCACAGAGAGGTGGGCTCCATGAACCCCCAAACCCCTTCTGGTTTCTGAACCAGTCTACTGCACAGCAGACAGGAGCTCAGAGGAAGGGCCCGGAAGCCCAGACTTGCTGCCCGGCTTTCCCTCAAGAGCTGCCTCTCCTCTTCTCCAAGATGCATCAGCCCCCCACAGGGACAGGGCCTGCGGCTGCTCAGCATCTGTGCGGGGCTGTGTGACAGGCCCACTGAAACGGAGCCCCTCGTCCTCTCCCTGCAGCCAAGCGGGACTCAGTCTGCCCAGTGCATTCCTGGCTCAGTATTCATTTTCTGCTTACGATTTATAAGGGACATCCTGTCTTCCAGAAAGGCCGGGGGGAGCCTGGTACCCCGACAAGCAGCACCTGCCACTGCAGAGAAGAATCTGGAATGAGGGCCCCGGGGTGGCTGGGGATCCTGTCATTCTCTCCAGGAGACCTCATGGGGTGACATTTGGTCCCCTGTTCCCAATCCTGCTCCAGAATCTGCCAGCCTCAAAGATGCAGAACTGAGTAGAGACCCTGATCCCCTAGACCTGCACAGGGAGCCAGGACGCCGACATGCTGATCAGCACTGAACATTCTGCATGTCACGGCCTGGAACACACCTGCCAGTGTTGCCTGCACAATCTCTTGCTTTGAAATACCTGAACAGGCGGCTTCCTGGCGAGCTCAGAGTTAGACAGCAGGAGCTGCATGAGGCAGACACCCACAGCCTCTGCTGAGACGCCTGGGCCTCCCTCCTACGATGTCCGGTCGCTCACAGCCAGTACGCCTGGGACACCGTGCAGCAGAGCTGAGGCTGAGTCCCTGCGCCTCTGCTCTGCCCGTGCCTTCTGTGGTCCTGCCAGACCGTGCGCGCCTGGAGCCCGCTTCCGACGTTGGCCGACCTTTGTCTCTGTGCTGGTCCAGTCGCCTGACGAATGTGTGAGTGCTGGTTAAGGCTGCCCAGGTTCCAGCGCTGGCTCTGCCTCCTGCCAGCAGGGGACACAGGACACACCACAGACTGCCGCCCACCTCTGTGTGCTCAGCCTCAGGTCGGGAGGGTGCTGGGCTCGCCCGCTGGGCCTGGAGGGCTGTGTGGGACAGCACCCAGCACAGAGCCGGGCGCACCACAGGAGGACCACGGCTCCTGAAAGGGGCCGGGGCTGAGCTCAGAGGGTAAAGCTCTTTCCTTTCACCCTCCCCTCCAAGCGGTTCAGGACCTCCTCAGTGGACAGGTGCTCCTGAGCTCTCAATTCTTGGAGGTACATTGAGGTGCAGGAGGTTCCCCCACACCCGTCCCAGACACCCAGAGAAAATCCATTGCACCGCCCTGTTGGAAGCTGCTGGTGTTGAAATGGCTCCTGCGCCTTCTGCCCTGGGCCCACAGCCACTCAGGGTCCTACTCCCTTCTCTGCAAGGTGGCCATTGCAGGACTGAGGGTCGCAGCCCTCACCAAGCCCCTTCTCTGATGAGCAGCTCCCATTCCCTTCGCTGCTCCTCACTCCTCACCAGCTTGCTTGGGTCTCTGGACTCCAGCTGCTCCCTCGCTGCTCCACTCCTGGTAAGTGGAGGAGTTTCTCCATAGACAGAAGTCAAGAGTGCCGCCCCATCTCTAGCCCAGCGGCCCCCACCATTAAGCACTGAACCAAATGACAGGAGAGCTAAAGTGTGGTCTGTCACTTCCATACGTTCTCCTAAAAGCAAAAGAGCTGGCTCTGTCTCCCCTCTCCCCCTCTTGCTGACTTGAATGCAGACACGATGGCTGGTGCCTCTGCAGCCGTCTGAGCCCCTGAGGTGCTGTGCTAGAATGGCAGAGGAGCATGAGAAGGCAGGCACTGCAGACCATGCTGTGGTCAGCCCTGAGCTGCTGCAGATACCTGTAGAGCTTTCTTGTTTTACTATGTTGGGCGGGGACAGGGGGGCGGGGAATGGCCTGTCTAGAGAAAAAAGAACTGTTCCTCTCTCTTTTTTTCCCTATCCATCTCTCCTTTCTTTCCTCTTTCCTTTTCCCCTCTCCTTCCTCCAGCCCTGTCTGCCTCCCTCCCTCCTTCCCTCCTGTGGTGCAGCCAAATGTGACTCTGATATCAGCTGGCACCGTTTCCCTCTCTTCTGTCGGGTGGACCAAGTGGAATAAAGTGAGTGGAGCCCTCCCAGCACCTTCTCTGCAGAACGCCTCCCGTCAGAAGAGGCAGGCTCCTTCCACACAAGCCAGCCACCTGCTGCGGAGGAGCAGGGACCCCACCCTGAGTGGGAGGACAGCCCATTCCTCTCCCACCAGCCCTGGCTGGGACAGGCCCAGTGAGCTTGGCCCCCCACCTCAGGCAGGCCTGGCTGAGGGCAGAACAGCCCTCTCCCTCACTGACTCACTCGCCGCTGGGGTGAAGGGGACCCATGTGACCTGTGCTGGAGCTGCATGCATCTGATTTCCAGAGTGGGAGGAGTTGGGGGAAGGTGGCAGAGGTAAGCCGAGGCCTGGTCTGGAGCCCGGGTGTCACGCAGCCGCCACCCCCAGTCTCATCTGGGGCTTGGACAGCGCACTAAACCTCGGCGCCAGAATCTCCCCTGACTCAAAGGGAAGTGAGGAACAGGATTTAGCATCAGCCCAAAGTGCCTCTCCCCAAAAGCATCTTAAAACAAAGGGAGGAAGTGCATTTACTATGGAGGAACCCAGCTGACACATGGAAGCCAGAGCCACCGGCTGGACAGGCCCCACCGTGTGCCCCGCAGGTGCACTGGGAATATCTCGCTCCCTTCCGCGCTTTCCCAGCCACAGTACAGCACGTGGGTCCCCTCGTCAGGAAACATCAGACAAAACCAAACTGAGGGGCCTTTGACACTAAACCAGTCTGTGAGACCCACACAGGGGGAAGCCACAGACACGAGGAAAGATAGGACTATTCCAGGTGAGGGAGGCGGAGCTATGGGGTCAGCCAGGATGGGACAGGACTACAGCAGCAGGTGCCCATCTATTGGGAAATCCAAATGGGGTCGCTGGGGATGGGGATGGGGAACACAGGTGTTTGAAATACTCTTTTTATTTCTTGACACAGTTTCCCTTTTTTTGCCCAGGCTGGAGTGAATGGCACAATCTCGGCTCAGCACAACCTCTGCCTCTGGGTTCAAGCAATTCTCCCGCTCAGCCTGAGTAGCTGGGATTACAGATTTGTGCCACCACCACGCCCGGCTAATTTTGTATTTTTAGTAGAGACAGGGTTTCTCCGTGTTGGTCAGGCTGGTCTCAAACTCCCAACCTCAGAGCATCCTCCCGCCTCGGTCTCCCAAAGTGCCGGGATAACAGGCCTGAGCCACCACGCCCAGCCTTCTCTCTGAAATAATCTTACAACCTTTCTGTAAGTTCAAAAGGGTTTCAAAATAAACAGTCGCGATAAATGGAAGGAGAAAAAAAAAAAAGACATACAGAACAGAGAGCAAAGGAGCTGTGGTACCTCCTGAAAGGACGAGGGGGACAAACTCTGCTTCTGCCATGTCCTCGCTGAAAGCTGGCCCTGAGTCAGGACGCCTCGGGGACAGACGGCCAACAGGCACCTGGGAGGTCCCCCACTCACATCCCGCGTGCAAGGCGGCCTCCAGACACTGGCCCAGCTTCCTCAATGAGCAGACAGCTAGAAAGAAAGAACTGAAGGAGGTTTAAGACACACGTCGACCTTTTTGCATCTGAATTCAAGTAAAGGAACAAACCCACTTTAGGAAGACATTGATGATTAGATCAGCGAAGCCTGACTGTTGCCCGAATGTTAGATGATGTTAAGGAAGCATTGTTCAATGGTCTACATGGAATGATGATATGGCTGTGAAGGTTTTTTTTTTTTTTTTTCTGAGTTTTGTTTGTTTGTTTGGGGTTTTTGGTTTTTTTGAGACGGAGTCTCACCCTGTTGCCCAGGCTGGAGTTCAGTGGCATGATCCCAGCTCATTGCAACCTTCACCTCCTGGGTTCAAGCAATTCTCCTGCCTCGGCCTCCCTAGTAGCTGGGATTACAGATATACACCACCATGCCCAGCTGATTTTGGCATTTTAGTAGAGATGGGGTTTCACCATGTTGGTGAGGCTGGTCTCGAACTCCTGACTTCAGGTGATTGGCTTGCCTCGGCTTCCAAAATTGCTAGTATTATAGGCATGAGCCACTGCACCTGGCCTGTTTGGTTTTTTGAGACAAGGTCTCACTCTGTCACCCAGGCTGGAGTTTAGTGGTGGGACCATAGGTCTCTACAGCCTCAACCTCCTGGGCTCAAGCAATCTTCCCACCTCAGCCTCTTGAGTACCTGCACATCACCTCACCTGGCAAATTGTTAAACTTTTTGTAGAGACAGAGTCTCACCATGTTGCCAAGGTTGATGTCAAACTGCTGGGTTTAAGTGATCTGCCCGCTGCAGTCTCCCACAGTATTAGGATTACAGGATGAGCCACAGTACCTGGCCAGGTCTCTTTTTTTTTTAAGTTTTCTTCTCTAAGACTATTTAGACACATGCACGGATGAAAGAAGACGATGTTTGAAATTTGCTTAAAAACACAGGGGTCACACTGCACAAATGTCCATCAGCAGCTGAATGAATACACAAAGTGATATATTCAGACATTCAGATGGTGGAATATTATTCAGCCTTGAAAAGGAAATTCTGATACACACTATGACCTGGATGGAACTTGAAACCGTTATGCTCAGTGAAAGGAGCCAAACAAAAAGGACAAATACTATCATTCCACTCACATGAGGTTCCTAGAGCAGTCAAAATCATAGTGGCAGAAAGCCGAATGGCGGTGTGCAGAGACGGGGAATGGGGGTGAATGTCTAATGGGGACAAAGTTTCCATTTCGAAGATGAAAAAGTTCTGCAGATGAACGTGGTGCTGGTCTCACAGTAATGTGAACGTGCTTAATGCCAGAGGTGTGCACTTACAGATGGTTGAGGGGGCCCGGCACAGTGGCTCACTTTTGTAATCCCAGCACTTTGGGAGGCTGAGGTGGGCGGATCACGAGGTCAGAAGTTCAAGACGAGCCTGGCCAACATAGTGAAACCCCACCTCTACTAAAAATACAAAAAAAAAAAAAAAAGAAAAATTAGCCGGGTGCGGTGGCACACGCTCATAGTTCCAGCTACTCGGGAGGCTGAGGCAAGAGAATTGCTTGAACCTGGGAAGTGGAGGTTGCAGTGAGCCGAGACCATGCCATTGTACTCCATCCTGGGCAATAGAGCGAGACTCCATCTCAAAAAAAAAAAAAAAAAGATGGTTGAAATGGTAAAATTTAGGCTATTTGCCACAATAATTTTTAAATACCAGGGTGGGTGAGCGCTGTCAATTACCATTGATACTGGGCCTGGAAGCGTGGGGAGATCTTTGAGTACCCACTGCATTTTTCTGTGTGTTTGAAATTTTCCATACAGAATGCTTCCTTTAAAACTTCATAGTAGAGCTCAGACTCTGTCTCAGGAAAAAAAAAAAAAAAAACCTGAGAGTAAACAGCAATCCAAATCCATCAGGGCTAATGAGGAAATGCAGGAAACAGCGGCATGTGAAACTCTCATGGGATTGTGGGGGGCAAAATCTGACTGCCCACCTATGTCTATGATATTATTTCCATTATATGCAAAACAGGCATTAGGGGGAAAAGTCTGGAAGGAGATATACCAAAATTACAATAGCTATTCAGACAGTGGGGTGAGCAGTCACGGCTCTTCTTTTCCGAAGCTTCTCTGGTAGAGTTCCTTGTAGAGTTTTTTTTGTTTGTTTGCTTTTGTTTTTGAGACGGAGTCTGGCTCTGTCACCCAAGCTGGAGTGCAGTGGCGCAATCTCAGCTCACTGCAACTTCCAGCTGCCAGGTTCAAGCGATTCTCCCATCTCAGCCTCCCCAGTAGCTGGGACTATAGGTGCGCATCATCACGCCCAGCTAATTTTTGTATTTTTAGTAGCGACGGTGTTTCACGATGTTAGCCAGGTTGTCTCAAACTCCTGACCTCAGGTGATCTGCCCACCTTGGCCGCCCAAAGTGCGGGGATTATAGGCATGAGCCACCACATCCAGCCCCCTTTTGAGTTTTATAAGTAAATTACATCCACCCAAGGTAGGAACAGAAGAGAGGATGTCAGGAAGTAACCAGGGCAGGGATCTGGCAATACCACTCTGGAGAGCCCGGCGGCTTCCTGAGAGAGGCAGGCTGGCAGTCCACCAGGACAGCCACAGCCCAGAGCAAGGAGCTTGCAGGGCTCTGCTCCAGCTGTCTGGCCCTCAATTTGAAGGCTCCCATCCCAAATGGACACAATGCTGGTCAAAATGGCAATGAAGGAGGGAGCCAGTCTGCAAAGGAGCCGGTCCACCTTCCCACGTGGGCCTGCACCTCTGCTGCCCAGGGATCCCACCACGGGCCTTCAAGCCTCCCCGTCCTACCCTCTCCTGCCCACATTCTGTTCTCTCAGGGGTCCACCCTTTGCAGCCACAGCTTGTTGAGGCCAATTGCTGCTGGCTCCTGGGGGTGCGATGGGCCAGGCCGGTCCCGAGAAGGGTCCCTGGCAGGGAGGGGACCTCAGCACCCACCCAGCTGCAGCAGGCCCTGTGGAAGGCGCTTCCTGCCCCTTCGCCTCCCGCTGCGGCGTCCATGGGCTTGTGGTTGCCTCGGCCCAATCTGGACTCCGAGTTGCTCAACCAGCCATGCTTTTCCTGTTCCCCTTTTCCCAGGCGGGTGCAGCTCCTGCCGGTGTGGTCCTGGCCTCTGCGGGCTCACCGCAGGGAAGCACGGCCCCATGCATGGCGGCCCCCAGGGCTGTTTCCACGTCTCTGATTGCTTTTTCCCTCCTGGGTTGCCAAACAGTTGATGAAGAAACCCCTTTCATTTGCTTTTTTATTTTAAGGAAGGAGCCCAGGCTGTCTGTCTGGGAAAACGCTATAATGGTCCTAAGGACAAGCCCCCAGCAGACCCGAGAGCCGCTGGAAGCACCTCTCCTGCCTGTCCCTGGGTGATGGTGCCCAAGCAGGGCTGTGCAGTCATAACCGCTGGTGTTTAAGGCGACTTCCTGTTGACCCGAGGAGCGAGTGCTAGCCCATCCCACCCTCCCGGGAGTCCTCCAAAGGGGTGTCGCCGTGACCCTGGTGTGCTGACAAGATAATTGTGCTGGGCTTAGGAGGCGGATGGCACCACTTCCCCGTGCAGGACCACCAAGCACTGTGCCAGGTGTCCACAGGTGTCCACGTACGTCCCAGGCCACACAGACGTGGCGGAATCCTTTGGTGAGTGGAGACTCACTCCTGAATTCACCCTTTTCAGAAGGAAATGTCAAGGGGCAGAGAAAAACGCCTGCACCCGGGAGACTCCCTTCCGGGGGGGCAGGGCAGGATGAAGGCGGGGTCCCGGGTAACGTGGCATTCTTACGCCAGCTGATGGGTCCACAGGGGCTCGCTGTGTCACCCTGGACACCGTTCTGAGTGCTGAAATCTTTTATAACATGTTTAAAGCTGGGTCCACAGGGGCTCACTGTGTCACCCTGGACACCGTTCTGAGTGTCTGAAATCTTTTATAACATTTTTAAAGCAAAAAATGGTAGTTTTCCTCCCTAGAACTGAGGAAATGCATGGAGGAATGTTAGCCGTGTGGCTGGTGGTCTATGTATGGAAGACACTGGGCTCCACCATTTATCCCAGAACACACTTTCAGGACCCCAGTACCCAGCACAGAGCGTGAAGGCGAGGCGAGGCCCACCCTAACGCCTCACGTGGAATTGGAATCGCGGGTTGATGGAGAGTCCCACCACAGCCCCTCCAGCCTCCGAGGGCCGTCTGACCCCACCCGCAGCCACAGCCTGTGCAGGTCACTCCTGAGGACCATCCCTCCCCTCCACCAGCTGTGTAGAAGCAGCAACCCTCACTCGAGGAACCTGCTATGCTTTTTAAGCCCAGAGAAAGAAAGCCGCAAGCTGCTCAGACACCTGAAACAAACACCGACTTGGCTTTTGTGACCCCGAGTTCCACAAGGATCTTTATTACATAAACCTCTGAAAGGTCCGTTCTCTGGAAATGGACAAAATACTGACTCACTCACAGCATCAAGAGCCCAGCATCCCACTGCTCCAGTCTGCAACTGTCAATCATTATTTTTATTTCAAAAAATTCACAGAGGGTTTCATGGCCAGTGACCAACACTCACCTCCACGAGCAGGTGGGACGGCGGCAGCTCTGCAGGGAGAGAGTGGGAGAGACTGGACTTGGCATGATAACTAGAGGGCCCTGGAGGTCCCCATGCCGTTGCCCACCCCCAGCCCTCTTCTGTGCATCTGGTGTGGGCTGGATTCTGAACGTTAAAATACTGAGATTGCTTCAAGTTGAAAACACTTTTACAGGACAGGGAACTATGCTTTACAACTCACGTTTTTTGAGCCGGTCTCAGTCTGTTGCCCAGGCTGGAGTGCATTGGTGCGATCTGGGCTTGTTGCAACCATCACCCAGGCTCAACAGATTCTCTTGCCTCAGCTACCCAAGGAGCTGGGATTGCAGGCATGCACCACCACGCCTGGCTAATTTTTTTTTATTTTTAGAGACAGGCGTTCACTATGTTGGCCAGGCTGGTTTTGAACTTCTGGGCTCAAGTGATCCACCCTCCTCGGCCTCCCGAAGTGCTGGGATGACAGGCGTGAGCCACCGCTCCCAACCTGCTTTACAGGTCACCTCCGTGAGCCTGAGGTCTTTCTGTCCAT